TAAATTTCACGCCTAGAAAAGTTGTTGAAAAATTTTATTCTACATTATTTTAATTACCTTATCTAAAGTGTTGGCACGCACTTGCAAAAGTTGTTCTTTTATGTAATTTGTGTTTGACTGGCTTGAAAACCAATGCATAATACTAAAAAATAGTTCAGTTTAATTGTTTGATATTTAAAACTTAATCACTGATTAAATATATAAAAATGGAAACATGTTGATTCTGAAAAGAAAATTATTGTATCCGAAAACTATATTAATTTTAAAAACAATTGAGTAATTAGACCCGAAAGAAGATGAATCATGTGATGGAGTTTTAAAAAGACTTTCGGAAAGTAAATTATCTCAGAAGACAGCCTGAAGATGAATTAGAAATAGTAGCAAATGAAACCTAATTGCGTGTGGCTTCTTTTTTACTTTTTTTGGCGGGGAAAATAATTTCGTTCGCAGGAAGGAAAAATTAAACATTCATCTATTTTTTTTCTATTAGTTGAAGTTTAAAAGCTGCGAATTCTTCTTGTTGTCATTTTAAAGTACAAATTTCTAACAACTAAAAATATCACCACTTTGAAAGTTATTTTCACGCGACTATTGAATATTATTTTGTATATTAAACGTAGCGAACAGACGCAGAGAAAAACTAAATAAAGTTTGTCGAGTACTGCAATTTAAAAAAAAAACCCCAACGCAACTAAACTACAATCACCAACGACAGCAATTTTACCCACAATAAAAAAAACAACAGCAGAAACAATGTTCACCAGCAAAACAACATCAAAACAACGCCAAAAAATGCAAGACAACACCAAAAAATGCAAAACAGGCAGCAAAAACAGCAAGGAAGTAGAAGCACTATCGTTTAAAAACTGTAGGAAATAAATGGGTGGATGGTGCATGTGCTAAGCATGTTGCCATCAATATACTTGACATTGCAGCCTCACACTGCACACATACCATCACATTCATCATTCCACTCCATTCTTTTCTAACCGTTGCTTCAAATACAAACAAGAACTTACTGTACGAACATTTCTGCACGAAACGTAAACCTACGTACTTATCTTATGTACATTTACGTGTATCTACATAGATGTATTACAGTCGGACCTCCGTTCAACGAATTTAACGGTTCCAGGAAAAAAGAGATTTTCGTTATAAGAAGGTTCAACTGCATATTTATATGTATACCTCAAT